CAGCACGATTGGTACCCCACAAGGGGATGGCCTCAGTAGGGGCAATCCCAGTCGCTATTCACAACTCCTAAGAAGGAAAAGAAGAGGAGAAGAAAGAAGTGCTAGGCAAGAGGCAACACGCACGTACAGTAACATTACCTACTAGCGATGTATTGTATTAGTTTACTTCCCATACATTTACTTGTGTTCTTGCTCCGATAAGACTATTCTTGGTATTACTAAAAAGTTCTGTAATATGCTAGCTATCTCTAATGGACATCGTGGTGTGTGATTGACCATTCATTAGTTGCTTACGCGGCATGTTATGCTGCTGACTAATACAAAGACCTCACTTCCACTCGTAGACCTACTCTGTTGTACAAACTGTGAAATCTCCCTGTACATGTACATGTACATCAGGAAGTCGTATACATAATACGAGTCGTACACATAATACGACTCCCTGCTATTCATCTATACGTTATATTATGCTATTGGCCTACATGCGCTTCCCGGGCTGGACGCTGGCTAGCGCCAGACATTACTGCACCATACACAATACGAGTCGTATACATAATACGACTCCCTGCTATACATTATACGTTATATTATGCTATCGGCCTACATGCGCTTCCCGGGCTGGTCGACAGGCGGGCCAGCCAGCCTGCTAGTGGGATCTCGGCCTTGCACACAAATCCACACAAAACTTGTTGTGCGTTTACATGTCAAGCTGGCTGGCCCAGGGAGACGGGATCCCGCCCCAAGGCATCCGGGATCCCTTCTTTGGCTTCCCCGATGCACTTTTGTCTGGGTTCGTGAAAAGGGCCACGCGTGCAAGTCAGCTCGTTTGAAGTGCATGGTTTTGTTTTTAGGGGCTGTCCAAGGTTACCAATAATATTTTCAAAACGAAAAGTTTTCGTTTGGGGGTGGGTGGGTTTGATCGAGTTTCGTATTGAAAATAATCATTGATGCAGATGGAGAATGCCCAGTTACCTCTGGGTGTCGAAAATTGACATTAATATTTTACTGGAATTCGTTTCACCTTCAGAATAGGTGGGTGGGTGGGGGCTGAAAAATACTAAATCTTTTCGTTTTGTAAAAACAATCGGTAACCCCGGACGGCACCTTAGTTGGTATGTGGCAGTTAATGGAGACTTTTGCTCCCCGAGGTTGTGTATGTAAATCATTAGTAGTAAAGTGGTCTGCTCTCGATATAACAACTCTCACTTGTACACTGTGTTTGTGCACCCTGGCTAGCACCAGACGTTACTGCACCATCGCCCTGCATGCCGCATGATTCCCCCTATACACTTCGCATACCTATAAGTTTTTGTGGACTCTGGCTTGCGCCAGACGTTACTGCATTACACTTCGGACACTGCCTAGCGCCAGATGTTACTGCACCATCGCCCTGCAGGCATTCCCCCAATACACTTCCCAAACATATACGTTTTTGTGGACCCTGGCTACCGCCAGACGTTACTGCACTATCGGCCTGCGTGCATTCCCCCGATACAATTCGCATACATACTCATTCTCTTGATTGTACGGGACAGGTACGGGATAGCGCCAGGCATGCCAATGGCACAAACAAATAAATGGAGTCGGTACGGTACGGAACAGGTACGGTCGAGGGTAATACGACACCGTCTACTGTGACCTTGGCAAAAGAAAGCATAGAGATGTTAAACATTTTTCAATTCTCCTATTTTCTTTTTCAAGACATAACCTGGGATTCCAACACGCACTATCGCCCTACATGCATTCCCCGATACACTTCGCATTCATACTCATTCTTCCGAGCTGCTTCACGTCATTATCTTGCATTTGAAAGCCTTATTTGAATATTGTGGCCAGCTGTTTGTCGCCAGCTGTCTTTGAAGTAACGTCTTCTGCATAGCTACGGGAATTAAAGCTGTGTGGACCCTGGCTAGCGCCAGACGTTATTATTATATTATATTATTATTATTATTTATTCTTCTTTTACTAGGGAATTCCCAACAGGTGTCAGCGCCTTTTTACAGGGAACCCTAGGTATAATTTGATGGATGAGCGAAATTCAGCTGGTGAACTAGACATGCGGCAAGCCGGTGGAAGTGTATTCCACCTGGCAGCGCCCAAATAAGAAATTGCACTAAAGCCATATCGGGTGTTAGCGGGGGGCAGAACAAGAGCAGCAGAGACTTGGCCACGGGTGGTGGCTGCAGTGCGACGTTACTGAAGTAATGTATTGTGCATTATTATGACGACTTTTTCACTCCCAAAGCAGAAAAAGAAAGCTTGAAAGGAGGCATGAAGTTCAGCACCGGGATCCATATGACCCAAGGGTGAAGCACCAATCAATGAAGATAAAAGAAAATCCTGAACAAAATTTTGATAAACTTCATGAGAGAAAAATTCAACTATACCAACTTCGATACTCACATAAAATCACAGTCAAGTATAACAGAACTACTGAAGTAGTAAACACCAAGCATGCTGCACATGGGACACTCCAAGCAAGACAAACTCAGACGACATAAAACGGCATATGCAGAGAAAGAAAATACATGACTGGGGCATATGGCAGAAATTCACGCCTCTCGGCTCGTCACACAGCACATGATGCACCACAATCATAAAACACACAGACTGAGACACATCAGGACATTACAGGCAGGCTAACATAAGGTCAACCGACCGTTCCGACCATGCCACTCTCCCATCCATGACCAGTTACCGACCGCACAATTCTCAGGGTGCCCAGAATAGCACATTGCTGCAGCCGCTGGATCACGGACGCGTGGAGCCCAAGGCTTAAGATGTGGCTGCGGCTCGTTCCTGACACACCACCCAGAGCACCAATGATAACTGGAACAATAGTTATCTTTTTGTTCCAGATCCTCCTCAGCTCTGCTGCCAAGGGCAGGTATTTGCTAATCTTCTCCTGCACCTTCTCATTGACCCTGTGGTCCAATGGGACACTGACGTCCAAGAGCAGTGCCCGATCATCCAGAAACAGCACCAGGTCTGGTCTGTTTGCTTTTATTACTCGATCTGTGGGAATGGAAATCTCCCACATAAGATTGCAACTGGCAGAACCTGTGACCTGTACCAGCTGCTTACTGCTGGGTAATCCATGCTGCTTACACAGCGCACGATGCAGGGCCTGGACCACAAAGTTATGCCGGGGCAATGTATGCAGTCCGTGCCAGGGCTGGACAGCAGGCGAGGATGTGGTCCATATTTTCTCCGGGTGCACCACATACACGACAGAGGTCCACGACATCATGCCTCTTGTGGATATGGCGCATATTGTTTCTCGTGGCAATCACCTGATCCTGGCAAGCAATGAGAAAGCCTTCCGTTTCAGGACGCATTGTCTGGGATCTGAAACAGGAAAACGAGAGCTGCATGTCCAGGATGCCATCAACACGCGCCCAATAGCGACCATGAAGAGGCATCGCTCGAAGTTCACGGCGGCGGTTGTCATTGAGGGCCTGTTTAACAGTCTCTTTGTTAGTGGTGTCCAGGCTCGTCAGGCGAAGGCGCTGCAGGACAGTATTTGCCAGCTTTGGTATTGATTTTCTAGAGGGACGTGATTCATGGTGCTGGAGAACAGCGGCCAGAGCAGGGACATCTTCCCAATCCTTCAGGTACTGAGCGAGCCGGATGCAAGTACGGTCGTGGAGATCTACGATGCATACTAGGCCACGACCTCCCTCACTCCGCGGTAGATATAGGCGACGGATTGAGGCACGTGGGTGGTGGGCCCTGCTAGCAGTCAGAGCCTTCCTCACTGTCCTGTCCAGCAAGCGGAGCTCATCCGCGGTCCAAGGAACGGCTGTGCCAAGGCCATAATAGGACACCACTGGCAGAACGTAGGTGTTGATTGCTCTGATGAGGTTTGGTGCACATAGTGAAGCATCCGTGATCAAGCGAAGACGGCGACGGAACTCAGCGATGGCAGATTGTTCAACTTCACCAGCCTCGATTTCCAGGAATTCCCGCAGGCCAAGGTAGAGGTACGCCGCGCCATCTTGCAGAGCATTAATGATCGACTCTGTTAGCAAGGTTGACGAAGGCTCTGCATCCTGGGTTGGCTTAGCGGCCGGGCAGACAATCTTCGAGCACTTAGTGGGAGATAGTTGCATGCCAACCGCCCCACCAACGCACTCCACAATGTTGATCAAGGAGTCCAGTCCAGTACTGCTAGCGGCAAATAGCTTGACATCATCCATGTACCATATATTATTATTATTATTATTTTACAAGAAGTCGGAGGCGGATAATACTTTAATAACGAAGGTACGTGTTGGGTCGTAAGTATCCACGCAAACACACATCCAGTCAAAATAAGGCACTTGTCAAAGTATCCGAACGTTTTCGGTCCCTTCTCATCAAGGATTATACAGGGAATGGCTCAAGTTGGAAAGACTAAAACTTATATAGCGTAAAGATATGAGATAACAACACTCGTGACAAGGTGGAAAAAGTATCAAGTTCAGCACGACACAAAACTCGAAGGAAATAATAATAGCGACAAGAACATAGTGAGCAAATTAAGTTACATTGTTAACACCTCGACGAGGAGTAACACCAAACAATTGTAGCGACAACACATTTTCTTTCTGTACGCAAAGTTCAGGATCTAACTTACGGATATACAAAGCTTCTAACACAGCCAGATGCAACGCACATCTACCACGTGACAATATTGAGTGCGTTGCATCTGGCTGTGTTAGAAGCTTTGTATATCAAGAAAACATTTTGGAATACATTATTTGTCCCCATGGTTGTGATATGAGTGCGCATTTAGTTCTATTCATTGCATTATTAAGATTATTGTCTCCACTTCGCCTTTTTATATCTTTTTTTCACTTTCTTTTTGCTGCCCCACCCTTGGAATTATCTTCCCGGTGGGACTGGCATGTCGACTTCGAAAAAAGTGAATAAAGGAGACATAATAATAACGTCATTAGGATGACCTAAAAGCGTATTGTGGGGCCGTTGCATTGAAATATGCCTTTATTTATCGCCGTGGTGTTTCTACCAAGTCTTGAGATGTTGTTATGAATGCTTGAAGTACAATAATTATTATAATAAGGTTGATGGTCAAAGGCTAGCGGCATGCCAGCAAGTATACCTGAATAGCTCGTGTCGGTTTAGTTTTCCTTTGAACCCTTGCAGTGCTTTGAGGTACAGCTGAGGTTCAATCATGTGCAGGGGAGACAGTTCCGTATTTGGAGAATACAAAAAGGAAGAAGATCGAGAGTGATCGTCTGGAGCACAGTATGGCAGAGACGCTGCTCATTCATGCCGCTGGACTGCTGGTGGCGCGTGCGAGCTATCCGGACAGGTGAAGCTTCAGGTGTTACTGTAGCAGTAACTATCATGCACAAAATCGGTACATACAAACATGAATTTACAACGGGTTTCATTATTCAGGGTGATGGAAGCCGCCACTGCGAGACAAAGAAATTCGAGGCGTGAAACGCATTTCTGTCTTGCCTTCGTGCCTTGACAAGTTTACAAGGAAGTCTATCGACACTGGCGGAGCTGTGGCGTCCGCAGGACAGACATAGATCAAACTGTAGTGGCTGATTGCTGGCCTCTCTGCATAGAGCTACCCGGTCATCAGATGGCACCGGCCTGCCGTCATCAGTGGTGGGGTGAAAGCCAGCCGACTGGCGTACAATGAATTTGGATGCAGCACATTGCTTGGCATTATTTGGACATGATCCGAGATAGCATGATGCGTTGACACTGGGACACAAAAGAGTCCTGCGCTGACCTCGAGCTGTGACTAGGCTGACTGTGTCTTCGTATCGGAGAAGACCATCATCTGGCATGACATCATTCTCTGGCATGAATAGGAAAACGCACTCGTCGCAAATCTGTGAAGTGTGTGGGTTGCTAGCACCAAAAGGAGTATAGTAGGTGTCTCCCCTCAGACATTGAGGCGATATCTCGGTACTGCAACTGGAGTTTTCGCAGTGGAAATAGCGATGAACGCCCGACGAACGCCCGTGTCCACGACGCAGTGAGATGGTACGCTTGTACTGCACGGCGTTAGGATGATCGTCGTTGCGCCACTGGCGGATTGTCATAGGAATGAGAACAGGGTCTTCTGGGTCACTAATCGTGCAGTTGTCAGGCCCGCCGTCACACAAGCGAGGTTCGCAACTATGCGTTACCGCAATTTCAAGTTTAGCACATTGGAAACACCAGTAATGATTGTTCAAGGTGTAGCACAAGGCGATTTTTGTTGTCTCACTGATCTGTTGGCGGCTCGCTGTAGCGTTTATAGCGTTGGCAGTTTTCAGAGCATGGACAGTGAGAGGCGTTCCAGGGCCATCTGACATTGGTCTACATTCTATATCCCAAGCAGTGTACCCAAAACACGTCAGCGGCCAGGGACGCTGGGAGGGGTCTCGGATTGGCCGTCTTACCAATAGGTGCACCTGATCCCCGCTATGCAGTACCTCCTCAACGTCGGGCCGAGCACCACTGGTACGTGCTAAGTAGAATTCTGATGCCCTGCATTGTCCATAAGTGGACCTTCTTGGCTGGTGCAATTCTCTACATGTGCGCCGCTCGCAGTGGCTACCCCAACTGTCTTTACATCGCAGCCAGCGCCGGTTGGGTAGAGCAATAGAGATACGTTGTTCAAACTGGATGTACTCCTGAGCTGGACGTGTCTTGTTGACAAAAGTGCACTGTTCGCTGTATAGTGCATTAAGTATTCTGGCATCTATCTGGCTCATGCCCCGACGTTGTCCAATCTCTACACCCGGCTGAAGTGGGAAAATGGTTGTGGCATGTGTTCGATTTATACCAAACGTTGACGTTGCATAATGCATGATGCTGCCGTAGTCGTAAGGCATGTCGTCCGGAATCTTACTAATATTAGAAGGCTGGGAAGTTTTCTCGAATTGTGCATATTTGTCGGGACGTATGTTTTCCCACAGAATGCGGACGTATTGATCACGGTCGATTCTTTGGTGTGTGTGAACAAGGCCGGCGGTGTGCAGCAGCTCATGCGTCAGGTAGCCCACGTCATTGACACATGACCTGCCAACACTGATAAGCAAAAAACCAGACCCGAATCCCACGTGTGCCCAGCATTCCTCACTGCAAGCACAGACATACAAGCAAGAAAAACACGATGGAAAGTCCACGTTAAAAACGGACACAACTGGCACCTCTGATCTTTCGACAGCATTACTGAGAAAACAAAATGATTAAGTATGTCGATAAGTCCGGTTGCGCCCAACATTTGCTCCTAACATTAATTTTCTAACGGCTAGGTGATAGTTTAAGAATTTTGGCGAGCCACCAAACAAAGTTTTTTTCACCGTTAGAAAACTAATGTTAGCAGCCTGTGATTGGATTGTTCACCTGCCATTTTCTTGGAACCACTGAGACTGTGTTGCTGGAGAGGGTAGCAGCTTGTGATTGGATTTCTCACCGGCCATTTTCTTGGAACCCCTGGCACTGTGTTGCTGGAGAATTGTAACTTCTCATTCTCTCACTCTGCCCGTAATCTTGCGCCCATTTTGTGTAGTATAAATCTGACTGTCTCCACCTGATAATTATCATCCTTTTCAATATCACCTTCTCGAATGAGCCTTATGAAGGCGAAACAGCTGTCAGGAGGAATTTCAGTATCTACCTGTCACCCTTCCTTGTATGGCTGTTGGTGTGTGTAATGGCTACCGAGGGTAGCAGTGAGTCGGCTGTGAGAGCGCATGGAGGAGAGGAGAGGAACAGTTCTTTACATTTTATTGGCCGAATAGTACCGTTCACCAAATGAAATATATTTTATTTTATTCCCGTAGCTATGCAGAAGACGTTACTTCAGTAACGTCTGGCGCTAGCCAGGGTCCACACAGCTTTAATTTGGTGTTTGTTTGTTTGTTTGTGCGTTTGTGTGTTTGTGCCAGCTAGTTCGGTTGGTGTGCCAGCTAGTTCCGTTGGTGGGTACACTTATGTCAAATATTGTTGGGCCTGTTGCCAACGGGCTCGGCTGCTTGAAGGTGTATTGTTGTACCTACCACCTTTGTTGGTTTCAGGGTTCATATACTTTCTATTTGAAGTATACGTATAGAATAAACACCGATGTCGTAGTGTTTATTCTATTTATACCTAGCTTCGTTTTTGGCCTGAAATACTGGTCCGAAATAGCTATTTTAGTATCCCAGTATACTATAGTATACTATTATGTGTAGGTAGTATTGCGTGTTCCAGACCTAAGACCTTTCTTTCAACCAACATCTGCATCAACACCCTGGTGGCTGGGTGGTCAAGATTGGTGCTTGGGAATCTTATGGTTGCAGGTTCGATTCCTGCTGAAACGTCTTTACTTCTTCAATTTTTTTCTTTTTCAATTGGAGAGAAAATTTCTAAGTCCCTTGAAAGTTGAAAAGTTACAACCTCTAAGTGGGTAATATAGCAAAGTATATACCCCAAGTTAAAGTGATGAATATGTATATGTTATCGCATGGTTGCAAGGGCCTTATGGCATATTATGTCCCCGAGAGGTTAGCCCTCGGGCCTACGGCCCTCGGGCTAACCTCTCGGGGCAATAATATGCCATAAGGCCCGCAGCAACCATGCGATAACAAATTTATCACATGGCCCACAGAGCAGACCATTGGGCTGCTGTTGAAATTAGCCCAAATGCCAACACATTATGACCACAATGTATATTCATTATCAAAACAGGAAAAATGAAGATATTTCTCCTACACCCTTACAAAAAGTCTTCTACAGGCCATCAGAGAGTATACAGTACTGAAAGACGGAGACAGAAAAAAGTGCCGGCACCGCATCGTCATAGCAATAGACATGGCAACGACAATAAAATACAGCAGAATCATAATTTCAATTGAAAAATTAAGAGTGCTACCACAAAGAGTTTCTTCATGTTTACATGTATATCAGGAAGTTGTCAAATACAGTACTGCAACAAGTGCAAGTATTTTTTTATTTTTGTTTATTTGACGACTCCCTGGTGTGTAATTCTGAGGACAATTTTTCTTCTTTTTTTCAGCTCCAGATAGCTGTATTTTTCATTGCAAAACATTTCTGAATTGTTGTGTTTGTTGTTCAAGCAAAGGTGAGATGAGCCTCGTAAGAGTTTTGCGTGGCACATGAAGACCACACACAGGCAGTGACTTTGCGAGGATTTGAAAACGCACCACGCTGAGTTGAATTTGTGTTATTTCAAATAATTGTTTGTGATCACAGTACCACTTCGAGCAGAACTGAATCTTATCCACAAGCTTACCGACGGTCAGGCTGCCAACATGACTGAACAAATGATCCCTGCAAGCACCACACGGCAGACGTCCGAGGCCATGTCTATTGCCGGGATGTCCATCTCTAAAAAGAATTCCATCTTCGTCTCAATGCTACACTGCGACTCGTCGTAGAGTCGTACAGTCGACAGAGTCGTCGTACGATCGTGATCACGCGATCACTGAAATAAACTATTTTTTAGCGGGCAAATAAACTATTTTTTGGCCCGCGGCGTGAAAGGTGCTGATTCGCTGGAGTACGGGCAACAATCACGTGCCATGTGATAAGTATAGGATATTGACCAAGACGAGGTCTATATGGGAAATATAGGCCGAGTAAAAGACCGAGGTCCGCCGAGGTCCATTAGTAAGAAGAAAAAGGGCAATGGAAAAAAAGATGATTCGAACAAGTTTTCGTACAACACTCTTCAGGAATCACCGGGAATCTTTTTCTTCTTACATGTATTTTCCTTACCCTTTAGATTGTTTCTTGCATCGTCTCCATCGCTTACATTGTTAATAAAGTAGTCCACATGTCGCTTCAGCTCGTCCTACTTATTGCCATATTAAAATAATAATGCAATTAGGAGTATAATCGATGCAGACATGGCCAAACAACAACGAGTTCATGGAATTTTTAAGGATTTTTATGTTATTCAAAATCGATTTTCAATATCCTCACCCATAGACCCAGAAGAAGCACAGCAAACTATTCACTTGAAATTTATGCACGGAATGGACTTGGCCCACGCAAAATGGACAGTGGAAATGGGTGTGCAGTAGCAGAGAACCCAGCAACGGTGACGCGGAGCAGCGGTCAAACGACTTGTGATGCTGGTGGAGATGATGGAGCCATGTTGGAGGCTGATAAGGAGTGCAGTGAGACTGAGCATCAAACGGATGATGAGGAAGTGACTGATGATGATGATGGTGGTGATGAGGACGATGATGATGAAGATGAGACGGAGGACGAGGATAAGGCGGAGGAGATCGAAGGAAAGGAGCGGGATGAGACGGAAGAGAGCGACGTGAGCAAAAAGTCAGCTGTATTTTGTCACTTGTTATCACGTCCAGATTGTCGTAGTGTGTACGATGATTCTCACTTTTCTGTTTTGTGCCGTGCAAGTTATGTTAAGCAGTTGAAGGTTCTGGAAGCTGTATGTACTCGTGTGCATAATCCTGTTCTTTGTAAACAAAAGAAGCATGTAGTCGCGCTAAAGTTGTTCTCGTAGCTGGTTATCAGATGTAAATGTTGTGTCATGTTGCACTGTATCACCTCTTGCTTTGTGGCTGCACTCAGTTATATACGTTAGCACTATGTTTGACACCTATTATGTAATGCTGTAGCACTTCCTTTGTTGTTCACACTTTTAATTAATTATGCTGTTATAAAATGTTCTATTTTTGTACACAGTACCCTCAGTTCCGATACTATTCACTGATGAGCGGAACACGAAAATCGATTTTGAATAACATAAAAATCCTTAAAAATTCCATGAACTCGTTGTTGTTTGGCCATGTCTGCATCGATTATACTCCTAATTGCACCAATAAAATTGCTTTCTCCACGCCGACTCTTTAAAATAATAATAATAATAATAATTAAAAAGCTTACGTGGAGATAAAAATGTAATCAACGCAATAAATAGAGTAAGCTGCGCACTCAGTACAAACACCATTAGCAAAACTTGTTTTCATGTAAACAACGAAGCTTGTTCCTAAACGTTTTCGTCGCCATCTCATCTGAGGATTTATCGCATCTGTTGTCACCTGATATCGTTGATTGATGTAATGTTTCTTTCAGCTCTCATTTTCTCGCGCTAGTTAGGGTCTAAATTATTACTTGCATTGTGCGTATATATATTGAGTTCGGAGCTAATGTTGATTTGCCAGTAATCCTCTGATGAGATGGCGACGAAAACGTTTAGGAACAAGCTTCGTTATTTACATGAAAACAAGTTTTGCTAATGGTGGTTGTACTGAGTGCGCAGCTTACTTTATTTATTGCGTTCAATAAAAATAATAATAATTTGTCTCTTTCCCTCAAACTAGTGAAGATTTTAGGACTTGGGGCTCCCCGCGTGCTAGAGTGTACGTGAAGTGTGTGGGTCCAGTGAGGGCTGCGTCCCACCCGCCTGTGTGGATTCACAGGAAGTGTGAGTTACGAAGTCTGAAGAAAATGTTGAACAGTCTCTGCTGGGATGACGACTACACCATAGCTCAGTGGTTAGAGCATCGCTTGCTACAAGCGAGGGTCCCTGGTTTGAGTCCTGGTGGTGACAGTCAATTTTTTCTTCAGACTTTTCCCGTTTGTCTCTTTCCCTCAAACTAGTGAATAATAATAATAATAATAATTTCCACAGCGCGGCACACCAAATCCAGGATACCCTTAGAAACCGGCGAAGACTACCACTCACGTTTCACTACTGCCTAGTACTGAATCCTACCTGAATTTTTGACACGACTCAAACTTGCCAAAGTCACTAAATCAACGTCAACTACAATAATCAAGCCACGTATCTGCAACGTCACGAGGGTGCTGGCAAAAGTCCTGCTGCTTCGCCCGCCGCCGTGCAGCCCAATACGTGTTTTTTAACGTGATTTTTTGGACCTTTTTGGACTTGGAGCAAAATTCTGCACACTTTCGCGTGTTTCCATGATACGACAAGTTGCGCACGGTCTGCTTACATTCAAATACAGTGCTGCCAACAAATGACAGCGTGCAACAAAAAATTCTTTCCTTGCAAGGGCACATTTTCGGCCATAACTCTTGAACGGCTGGTCAGATCGGGACAAAATTTTCAGAGAAATTGCAGCTATTCAAGCTCTTTAAACTGACATAGCACTCAATATGAATTTACAAATTCGACTTTTCGCAGAATTTTGGGTAGTCTGCCACGTTAACTGTAGTCCATAACCATGACGACCATGGCACAATACAGTGAAAGAAGCCAACAGCCAACAGATTATACACTGAAGACTTGCTACCACGAAACCTACGCACAACACTAACATTCTCACCGACACTCTCACGATCACTACAATCGTCGCTCTCCGACTCATTGCTTCCTTCACCGTCCGTCCCATCATCTGCTTCCTCTGTGCTCTCTCTGTTATCACGCCTGACATGGTCCATTGAACGGGACTCGGCCGTCACCCTGCTCTCACGTCCCTCCTTACGCCCTTTTCCGCTGAGTGCGTAGTTTCTGTTGTAGTTGGCTGTTGATGGTCTTGGTCTTTCAATTGTGGGCTTGGATGGTGGATTAGTTGTGGTTGCTGTAGATTGCATTATTGGTGATTGTGTGCGAGCTGCCGATACGCAAGGTGGGTCTTTTTGGGTTGGCAATTGTAGTGTTAATGCCCCTGCCGGTGTTGCTCGCGGTCTGTCACTGGCAAGCTCCACATCCGCAAGAGCCGACGGCGGAGGATCAGGAGGAGGCAGTGGGATGGAGACCGCAAGCGTCACCACCCCAGTCAAAGCCGCCGGGGGCACTGACGAAGGAACCACCGACGGCAGGAGCAAAGGCGGCGACACAAGCCGGCCCCATGAGCCACCATGCCCACCCTCCTCCACCACTGCCACCAGCGACGGCGGAGCAAGCACAGTCTGTGAGCCCGGATCGGCAAGTTGTGTAGATAACGGTTGTTTTCTAGGTCGCCCTCCCTTCGGTCTTTGTTGTTGTGCGCAAGGTGGAAGTATGTGACGTGGTGTGTGTTGTTTGATGCATGCGTTCAGGTGCTGAACAGTCCTACGAACATACCGACTGGCGCATTGTCGGCACTCAAAGTTGTAAATAAGATGACTAAGGTGAAGGGCTGGTAGGACATCCTTCCGCACCGTAAACGCACGCATCGTCGTAAAAACTGGCACAAAGTGTACTGCATAGTTTGTGAAGATTCCTGATGAGTGTTGTACGAAAACTTGTTTCAATCCCCTTTTTTTGCTCTACACGATTTCTTCACATTTTCATCGTTTTATTGAACATTGTCTCCACAGTTTTACATTACATGAATAAAGTGTACACAAATGTCGATCCAGCTTGTATTACTGATTGCGGTTATTCATTTATTTATTATTTTTTAATAATGCAATGAATATAACTAAACACGCACTCATATCACAACCATGGGGACGAATAATGTATTCCTGAACCTTTTCTTGTTACAATTATCAATGGAATTCGTGACTAAAGAGAATGATGAAACTACAATAGGATTAATACACTTGGAGTGAAACAGCGGGGATACAAGCATAGTATAAAAATAGCACAAACCTAGGAACAATTTGCACAGGTAATAAAAACTATAGGTGAGGTGAGAAATGATAGGAAATTCAGCAAGTGCAGTGTGACAGTGGACATGCATTATTCGTCCCCATGGTTGTGATATGAGTGCGCATTTAGTTATATTCATTGCATTATTAAGATTATTGTCCCCACGTCGCCTATTTTTTATTTTTTATTTGCCTTTTTGCCCTCAGTCCGTGGTTGGTTTCACCCTCACTTCCATGCATTGGCTATTTTCATTATGTGCCATGAGGTGCAGACAGTAAATAAATAAAAATAGATAAATAAATAAATGTAGAAAAGAAAAGGACATATGGATACGAGTTAAGAGTAACTCTCCATCACTGTAACTGGATCCGATAATTATACAGTCAGAAAGTGACGAGACCAGTACGATATATTGTGACAAAGTTGGGACTGTAGCTTTTGCTCGTTTTAGTTGCACTTGCCTTCCCCTCTTTGGTCTTTTCATAACCTTGAACCTTCCAAGTTGGAATGCTGTCGGTTAGCGCTACAGAGATGTGTTGAAGCTAGGTGTCAGGACGTCGAATGTCTCAGTACTCCGTCAGTTTTGGGCCTAGTTATTGCACTTTCTGACTGTATTATAGTATCCAGTTACAGTGATGGAGAGTTACTCTTAACTCGTATCCATATGTCCTTTTCTTTTCTACATTTATTTATGGCTCAATATCCGAGTTTCAAATAAATAAATAAATCGCATTCAGGTAATGCAAGGAGTTACCAGCCGTCTCTACTTACACGGTATGATCGAGTTTGATGTAAACAATTGCGGGCCAACACTTTGCACGAATAAAGCGAATACATGATCGCTCCTCGATGTGTCTCACCGCTGCACGGAACGTGTTGTGAAACCGTTGTACGATATAAGGGGCTGAATTTAAACGGGATACAGCAAACCATACACACAGAGACATTGCGTTATACTCAACGTACAATTCAGGTAGTGTAAGTCATGCGCTACACACCTTGAGTACACGAACTATTATTTTCTGGAAAAGTCTGACGCGCACATTTTAGCCCAAACTGATTAGGAGTGCAGGACTTGTGACTTAAACATTCCATGGCATGCTAGTGACCTTGAGCACTGCTCGAGAGCGCTTACCAACAGCTTTCCAAATTTGCAATGCAGCTGACATTTTACTTATTATCACATGGAAAGTAAAGCTAGCGATGTCTGGACTGCTGTAGGCGACTGAGATTGGCGGTCTACCTCCGCCTTTTGAGCCAGCACCATTTACTAGCATGGCGATACACACCTCGTGAAAGTGAGACAAGTTAGTGGTTCCTGAGGTGTTCACCGTGTTTGACTACAACTTGCAGTTTTGTTTTTGAATTTTAACATTTTAATTATTTTAACGCCTATGTTGAAGTGTTGACTCTTTCTTTCTTTCTCTTTGTTATGGCTTTTCCAAATTTGTAACATTCCCTGTTCTATCCTGAAGAGAAGAGGAAGAAAACGTTTGATAGAAAGAAGTGTCTACTGAATTGTGTGATCGTTTCATACGAAGGCTCTGATAGTGAAATTATTATTATTATTCTCATTATTTTGAGGGATGACCCAGAGGCACGTAGCCTATCGAGGGGTTCTCCACAGGTACGATATTGAATGGGTAGAATTAAAGGGGGGGGGTAGAATACATTAGCATTGACCTGACCACATAAAGCGCTGAAAAGTGCTTAAAAGTGTTACACAAAGGCAGGTGCGATCCTTAGGTATGCTACAACCCCACTGCCAACACTTGAATGATAACTGCAGAGAATTGTTCTTTAAGTCGTACATTTTGCCTATATTTGACTATTGCGATATAGCTTGGTGCGGGTTGTCTCAGACTTTACTCCACAGACTGGAGGTACATCAACGCTTGCTTCTGAAAATTCTGTTTCGAAAAGACCAAACATTTGCCTCCCTTTGTCTTTATAAACTTGCTTCCACGCACCCTCTTCTTGCCCGACATCAGCAGCATCTTTGTATCCTTGTGCAAAAAATCTTCCTAGCCCAAGTCCCGAAACATATTGCCAAGTACAACTGGTTTGTTACCACTAGACCAACACGCAATGCCTTATCACTGCCCCGAGCTAGTTCCTCTCTGTTTTTGAAATCCCCTTTCTTCTCAGCATACTCCCTTTGGTCTAACCTGCCTACTAGCATTAAGACATGCCAGGATATCAGGAAATTCACAGTCCAGCTTTCCACACTGTCTCATCCGAAGTGATCCCATGTATTATTAATGTGCCTCCCTTTCTTTTTCTCTCCCTATCTCCTTTCCCTCTCTGACAGCATCTTTCTTTTTTTTTCCCTTTTTAGCTTGCCGTGGTTGGCTATCACCTGACCTCTCATGTTTATTGGCAGTCTTCGGACGGGCCAGGAGATGTTGAATAAATAAATAAATAAATAAATAAATCCAGTAACCATGGTAACATGGTAACATGAGGATGGTTGCATCTATTGTACCTCATGAGTGTAGCAGATTGGTGCCAAAACGTGGGGATTTCCCGCTAATATTTTGTATGTATGTATGCATGTAAGTATGCATGTATAGGATATCGACTAAATTCCCCATAGGCCGAAGTCGAGGTCAAAATAACGATTCCTTTGCCGTAACCCCTAAATGTGATCCTTTAGGAGATATTTTTCCTTTTTAGTATAGCATTTGTACTATGGTGTACATAGGATGTTGCCTATTTTGGGTACAAGACTGTAAGAACAGCTGGGTTCAGCATCTGTGGCACAGTGGCTGGGTGGTACCAGAGATTGCTTGAGATTCATACTGTTGTGGGTTCGAATCCTGCTTGTTCTCTTCCTTTGTCTTCTTTCTTTCAAATTTTCTTTTACCTCCAAAGTCGAAAGATTACAATGTCTAAGGGCTTTGTTAGGGGCTGGTCAGACTGCGGCAAATTTTGGTTGCCTGACGAAAAAGGAACAGCGTCCAGAATTTGAATCGCGATCACACTACAGATGTGGGGAGAGTGAAAATTCAAACTTCATTTCGAGCGTCAAGTGGTAATCTCCACGAACGACGTCAAATTCCTTCACCTTGGGGATCGCCAACACCTTCAGTGCAATCCTTGCAACCATCCTTATGAGTTTTGTTCTTGTCCGTGGCCAATTAGCTCCTCGATATCGAGATGAAAAAATCAGTGATTATCAGCGTCAATGGCGTATCAGCGTCAAATCCTGTTTGGAGCGGAAAAGCGTGGTCCGTTCTTGCATTTTTTTTTGGAGCGTCAACTCTCGCTTTTGCCGCTTTGGCGGCAAGTTACTATGGAGATTCGGTTTATAATCCTAGGATTATTTCGATTTTGCCGCAGTCTGACCAGGCCCTAAGACTGCGGCATAATCGAAATAATCCTAGGATTATAATCCGAATCTCCATAGTAACTTGCCGCCAGAGCGACAAAAGCGGGAGTTGGCGCTCCAAAAAAAAGCAAGAACGACCACGCTTTTCCGCTCCAACAGGAGTTTGCCGCTGATACGCGATTGACGCTGATATTCACTTATTTTTTCATCTCGATATCGAGGAGCTAATTGGCCACGAACAACAACAAAACTCATAAGGATGGTTGCAAGGATTTCACTGAAGGTGCTGGTGATCCCCAAGGTGAAGGAATTTGACGTCGTTCGTGGAGATTACGGATTGACGCTCGAAATGAAGTTTGAAATTTCATTGTCCCCACGTGTGTAGTGTGATCGCGATTCTAATTCTGGACGCTTTTCTGCTTTCGTCAGGCAACCAAAATGTGCAGCAGTCTGATCAGGCCCTAAGTGGTCGATACAAGTGGTCGATATTACGGCGATATGGGTAATATAGGACCAGTCAAGGATCACGACATTTAGTGGAGGGCGATATAAGAGAGTGATAATCTTTGCTATACACTATGAGCGTCAAATGCGGCTCAAATCTCCGGACGTGCTCATTTTTCACGGAGGACGACACTGAGGACGAGTTGGGAGATGAAACGGAGGACGAGGTTGCGGTTGTTGGAGACGAGGAATCAGATGGTGATTGTGATCGTAAGAAGTCTGCCGTTTTTCTTCACTTGTTGTCTCACCCTAAGTGTCTGCAGGTGTATGATGATTTTAGTTTTTCTGTTCTTTGTCGTGCACGGTATGCTAGTCAGTTGAAAGTACTTGAGGCTGTTTGTATTCGTTTGCATAAGCCTGATCTTTGTAAGCAGAAGAAACATGTAGTTGCGTTAAAATTGTTTTCGTAGGTGCACAGCATGATTGTTTGTCTCACTACACAGTTTTAGCGTTATAATTATTAGTTTTCACCCACTGTTGCACTTAGCTTTCACTTCACTGCTATTGTCTCACCTTCCCTCTTTCTATTTTGGCACTGTATTTTGTTCTCGTAACACATCATTGAATGTATATTTAATCATTGTTCAGCATGGTTACTCTTCAGTCACGACTTTCCACTGATGAATGTGACAAGAAAATTAATTCTGGTAAACTTTCATGACTTCGTTGTAGTGTGGCGATGACTGCAGAATTTGTTCTTTTTATTGCTATTATAAAATTGTTGTCTCCACGTCGATTATTTGAATAATAATAATACAGGAATAATGTCCTCTGGGAGGGCCCAAAAAGACACGCCATACAGTAATCGACCGGTTATCGCGAGGCCCTGCATTTGAGCCTAACATAGTATGGTGTCAATGACCTTTTAGAATCAAGTTTATCAAAGAATTTCAATTTGAATGGAAACGTTCGTGAAACTCGTTTAAGAGTCCCTGGGTCCGGAGCCAAACTCCCTTCCATAAAGTTAAGGTGGGAGTATACCCTGTCAGCCGTATACTGGACTCGTGCCAATACAAAGTAGCAGAACTCAGGAATGGTTTGATATTTTTCCCTGAAATTTTGAAAAGTTATTAATTATACCCCAATGCACCAAATGGCAGAAAAGCCAAGTGAGATTTCAACACAGCAGACCACTGGTACATCAGTACTGGAGAAGAGCGCACATCGCACGGTGGTCAAAGACCGTTTACAGCACAGTTGGTCAGAGAACAGTGCCTGGGTTCAAGAGATACCCTGAATCAAGAGGGGATACCACAAGCTAAAAAATGAGTGAAACTAAAGTGCAGCAAATTCTTCTATTTGCTACTTAGCGAAGTCACCATTCAGGGTTGTCGAAGCGTGCGCATAGAAGTTTACTTTCAACCAGGCAGTACCATTGCCACAAGGATCAAAAACAAAAACTGTTCCACTCATATTGTAGCTAACGAAAAACAGATTTCAAAAATGTAGAGGTTTATAGGTTGGTATTGAAGCGTTCTTGAGATACAGTGTAAACGGTGGCCTAAACTACCCTATTTACAGCTGACTTTTGGGTGTCAAAATCGGTTCAACGATGAGTTCAAAACTCACCAGCTGCATATGTAGTGCCCTCCTCTTCTAGATTCTGCTCCTCAATGCCTTTCTTACGCCTCCTACGTTGTCTTCTGCGACTTTTCATTGCTTCCTTCAGCTTTCTCTCTGCACACAGAGTAACAGCGACCTCGGCCTCCATGCCTGGAGCAGATCGATCTGTATTGATTTTACAGGTTTGAGTTTGATATTCAGCAGCTGTAATCTTGTCACGCTCTCTCTTCTCCATCCACTGCCTGCATGCATGACAGTGCTTTGTGCTGATATGGAGATCCAAAACACGACCAACTTCCCAGTCAAAGCATGTGAAGACACCGTGCAGAGATGTGAAGCCGCGTTTCATCCAGGTGCCGTCAAACATTACTTCAGTAATGTGCTTGTCTTTCTGCTTGCTCAAGTTCAACGCCTGCACTTCCCGGGCTGCTTGCTGCATACTGCTCTCAGCAACAGATTTAGAAGCAACATACAAGGCTTTCTGATGACGCTGGAAAGCTGACTTCGATATAGGTGGTGGCAAATTCATGATACCGCAGAATTTACGCAGGCCACGATGACCCTTTCCTATTGATTTCGCTGCAAGCACACTGCGTCTATTACAATCATAAAAAATACTGGTTGGATTTGGGCACTAGTGAATACTTGCTCATGCCAGCGCAGTCAACATTGCTACAAACTAAAGATATACAACTAGCTAAGCCAGCACGATCTGTCTCCTTGACAGTCAAACTGCCAGTTCTACAAATTTTGCATACGCAAATTTCTGAGACAATTGTCTTCAGGTTCTCCATGTAAACAAGGCGATATCCAGCACACTCTTGCTCACTGCCATCGTCACTGCCTAGTTCAGAATCTTGAGGAGAGTCATCGCCACTGCTGGCCTCAGAAACACTAGCAGAGCTCTCAGAATCGCCTCTGTCACTTGAATGCTCATTGTCGACATTACTGTCTGGGTTCGAGTACGACGACGAGTCACTCGAACAAGACGACGAGGAATCACAAACAATCCATCTGGGAAATTCTACATCAAGCTTTCGCTTCGCAGCAGACACTGGCGCTTCATCGTGACTTGACTCAGACTCGGAATCGCTATCTGGAACAGCCGTGGCAGCGGTAGACTGCCCAAAATACCTTTTAGAACGCTTCTTGGGGCGACAGGACAATTTCCTCTTGCCCAAACTATCAAGATCAAGGCCTTGTCGTTCTGAAACAGCAACATTTGTCTTGCCAACTAACGTTACTAACAGCAACGAAACTGCAAGAAATAATTAATTTCTCCAAATCTGCGCTGAAGTCACTCGTAGCGTTAGGAACAGTTCAAAAACCTGTCAACTTGGTTCAAAAATTCAAAAATATGTTTTACGCACTCAATGAAACAGTAAATAACTCTTGACTGGATGATCCGATCTCGCTAAAATTTTCCGGAGATACCCCTCCGCATTATAGCTTTCATTTTAGACCATAACCAGTCGGATCGACCGTCTTTCGATTTTTGGCCCCCGACAGGGTATACTCCCACCTTAATGATAGCACAAAAAATGATGTACGGTACTTGAATTGTAATACGCAATTTCTGGACTATAAGGAGCTAAGGGGCCGTCCGGGGTTACCGATTGTTTTTACAAAACGAAACGTTTTAGTATTTTTCAGCCCCCACCCACCCACCCACCTTTCCTGCAGGTAAAACGAATTCCAATAAAATATTGATGTCAATTTTCGACACCCAGAAGTAACTGGGCATTCTCCATCAGCATTCAATAATTATTTTCAAAACGAAACTCTGTCAAACCCACCCACCCACAAACGAAAACATTTCGTTTTGAAAATATTATTGGTAACCTTGGACGGCCCCTAACTGATGGATGAAACACACCTCGAAAATACTGCCGTTGTGCGCCAAGTTCACTTACGAATTAGGCTATATTAAAAACCTGTCAACTTGGTTCAAAAATTCAAAAATATGTTTTACGCACTCAATGAAACAGTAAAAAACTCTTGACTGGATGATCCGATCTCGCTAAAATTTTCTGGAGATACCCCTCCGCATTATAGCTTTCATTTTAGACCATAACCAGTCGGATCGACCGTCTTTCGATTTTTGGCCCCCGACAGGGTATACTCCCACCTTAATGATAGCACAAAAAATAATGCACGGTACTTGAATTGTAATACGCAATTTCTGGACTATAAGGAGCTAACTGATGGATGAAACACACCTCGAAAATACTGCCGTTGTGCGCCAAGTTCACTTACGAATTAGGCTATAGTTGAAGAATTGGTAAATGATTTCACCGTCTGGCCATACATTATCAGTACTTTCGTACAATGCTGGAACGGATCGTGGCCACTCGTTATTGTTTCCTCTAGGTCGCCTCCAGCACTCAATTGTTTTAGAAACCCTTTGAATAGCAAGGTGGTCGGGAGCGCCACCAGTATCTGAGACGGCGGACAGCACGGTACATGTAACCAGTAGCAGAGCACACCATGGCCGCATCATAATTGAAGATGTCGTCTGATCACAAGGTGTCGCATACGTGTACAGTGCTAGGATCTGAGCGAATTGTCCAAGGGAAGCTACCAATCTGAATGTGGTATCAACTGCTAGTGGGGTTACTGCAATTAAACACATAATTACAGCAAGATCAATGCAATCAATGCAGCCGACGTTAGAGAGTTGATTGTTGAACAATCCGAACAGCCCTCGGATGAACACTACTGAGAGCCAATATGGTTACTACGAAGACTAGGGTGGGCCTAGGCGAACATACAGGGCATAGATTTTTTGAACTTACATGAAGCTCTGCAGAAGCTTGTTACATGTATAATTATGGGGTAGGAGTTCGGGGATCACATCAGCAATACGCAAAGTTTTGACATCACACAATATTACGACGCACCATGTTACTGAAGTTTGAGCATTGATTTGCTCTGTGAAATCAATGCTCAAACTTCAGTAACAGTGACAGAGCCCCGTTCTCTAGGAGATCTCTACATCTGCTCTGTCTCGATGTCCAGCAGTAGCGAACGTGTAGATCAAGCATAACTGCTTGGTTGACGCTCCCGCAGAAATGAGTATAATGATAATGATGGTAATGCCAACATGTTAATATTCTTAATAATCCATTCGAAAGCAGTTCATATGTGTCCTTTCCTGAAGTCGATTGTTTTTTGTTGTTTGTAATTGTTTTTCCAATTAGATTGCTTTTTTAATCCGCACGTTCGGGCTCTCCGCCTTTGCCATGAATAAGCTGAACAAAAAATAACCATCGAGGAAATTGCTGGAGGCCATCGAGATCAGGAATCGCAAGGCAGCAGTTAACTGCGATGACGGATGGCGCTTAATTGACTGAATCACGGCAAAGTCACTGGATTACCACTCAGCACTGCGACCTATCACCTGAAACCTACTGAACTACCACCGGACTTGTCCACTTACACTTACGCTTACACTTTACGCTATCACTATACATTCACTGTTCTATAGCACTCTTACGTGTGGTATCACACCCTCTGTATGAAATTTACATTACAAGTAAATCCAATACTTCTTGAATATCTACATTATGCATAGCGTTACCAAATATGTGGACTTAATACGTGAATTTCAGGGTGTTGATTCTACACTTTTTGTAGGTGTGAATGTCTTTAGTATTTTCCCTCTGCTGAGTATATTATGTTGGCGCTTGCCTCTTCTTTTGCATGGATGCCCTGATGATGCCCAATGGGCGAAATATTGGCAAAAGTAAATCTATTCGATGAAGCTGAGAGACTGTTATGAACGGTGTGCAATGGAGATATTTTCCGATGAAAAAAATAATAACTTGGTGTCACAAGAAGACAAGACGATGATAACACCCGAACGCGCTGAATACAAACAGAAGAAAATACTTTTGAAGTACTTCAAGTAGTAAAAATCATAAGCCACGTAGCGCTTAATTTGCACAAAATAATAATTCGTCGATGCTTGTGTGACCTCACAATATCGCTGCATCCGCACGCAGCGCACAGGAAAATATTGTCCAAATTATACTCCGCCTGGAACTCTTGCAGACTATCAGCTAACAAGGTTGCAAAAACTGTTGCTGGAACCTCTTCCCTCACAGAAGCATCAGGTACTGTGCGGGGGTTCCCATGACCATGAAAATCATTATTCGTCAATATCAAGATCCGGCCTCCACTGTGACGCATGTGCCTCTTTCCCTTTCCTGCCTTGTTTGCTACCTTGTCATACACAACGGTATTCCGCATTCAGCCCATAATGTTTCTCTTCGTACAGTTTCTTTTCCGTTCTTTTTGTACAAAAGTATAGCGATGGTATTTTTTTCTTTTCTCCTATATGCTTCCCTTGTTCTTTCTTGACCAAAAAAGCATAGCAGTTTTATCTCTATTTCTCCTATATTTCTCCTATTTTTCAATATAGCAAGGGATTCGAATCCGCACTATCGCACTGCACTGCAAGGGGTACTTGTTTCTGTGTGCGAGTAAGTGCATATAAGTGTACGTATCATTATTGGGCAATTCGCACTCACCAACATACGCTCGTGGGTTTCCCATGTCAGTGGGAACAGTACTATGGTCCTAGGATTACACAGACAGCAGAACGAGCAGTTGTGGTTTCGTAACTCCGAGTTTCACGAACTGAATCGATCATCAGACGATGGTTAGGGTCGTGAAACGCGGAGTTACGAAACCACAACGGCTCGTTCTGCTGTCTGTGTATCCCGCTCTTTGCCTTCGGCAAATTGAACTTCACATGGTACTATGATTATACGTATTGATGTGGAAAATTAAAACTCCGGTACTGAGATAATATTACATGTACAAAAAGAGAAGAAACGCATGAGAACGAGCTATGCAGCAACAATCCACGACTGAAACAAGATGATAAACACATCTCCAGTGCGCAAGCCAACACTCCTTGTTGCCGTGGGACTTTAGCTTGTGCACATTTTCGCTGCGCACACCTTCCCCTCTTCGGTCCTACATAACCATGCAAGTTGGAAGGCTGTTGGTTTGCGCATTGGAGATGTGTTAGAGCTAGGTCTCGGGTCGCTGAATTTCTCAGTAGCCTGTTAGTTTTTTTGCCCGATGGCCGCACTGTCTGACTGTTTATCATCTTGTTACAGTCGTGGATAGTTGCTGCACAACACGTTCTCATGTGTTTCTTCTCTTTTTACACACTGATGGGTGCTACGATTTCTGGCACATGTAGTTGTTTATAGATTTGAACCTGTATCTACAGCCCTGCTCAATGAAATCCAGTCGCATCGCTCAAGTTTGCGCCCTGCACCATCCGCAACCCAGTGTTCGCAGTTAGGGTTAGGGCTCGGCCCGGCGCGAATGTGAGGGTCGCGACCGGATTTCTTTGAGCAGCACTGTGCATGTGCTATCAACATGAAACTGTGAAGTTATTGGCGCAGAATAATATATATATTCTCCATACTTCAGGCTCTTTTCGTGTTGTCTTAAGTGGAATAGTAGGAGTGAACGATTGCAACAGCTTTGATGGAAAGCGGGTCTGAACTGGGTCCAGGGTCAGTAGGTCTCGGCCGGGATCGTGAGTGTCACGTTGTCCATGAATCATGCCGATGTCCAGATTTAGCGCGGAGAAGCCCAGGAACTATGGCCTCGCCTAGCCTTCATGTGTACTTTAACAATCTGGGGGACTGTGCAAAGCTTTTGACAAAAAATGGAGGAATACCACAAGGAGTGCATGGAATGATTAGCTTATCTGAGAAATTGCAATTCCAAGAATTGTGGAAAATCGACCAGCTTCCTGTCCTATTATCACTTCCTACTCAGCCTACTCAAGCTCAACTGATGAGGGGTGCATTTCCCCCAAATACTGTGTATTGTGCAGGGAGTTAGGCGTTCTTGCAGGTTTTTCGAGTGGACGGTCCGATGGACTTCTAATGTGCTCTGGATGTCAGTCGTGAGTCAGTCAAGTAAGAATTCAAGTCTGCAGGAAAACTGCGAGCTCCCATATAGGGAGAAACACACTTTTCCCAATTATCGCCTAAGTCACACCAAATTCTTCCTCACATTGTTGTCCCCAGCACCGGCTTGGGAATCAGGTGGTTTGGAGGCAACAACGTTGTGAATGACCAACGCTCCTCAGCGCTTGTCCAGCACCTCCATGAGCAACAGTGCCTCACACTGCTTTTTGGTGTTCCCGAGTTGTTTGTCGCGCTTGAAACGGAACGTCTATATAAGTCTGTATTAATGGTGATGTTTGTTCCTGGAGAGCGCTATATTAGTGGTGCTCTTCTGGCACAATCTTCTTCAGCCTACTCAAGCTCAATTGATGAGGGGCTAATTCCCCGAAACACAGTGTATTGGGTAGGGAGTAGTGCTTTCTTGCAGGTTTATCGCGTGGACGGTTCGAAGGACTTCTCTTGTGCTCTGGATGGCAGTCGTGAGTCAGTCAAGTGAGAATCCCATATAGGGAGCAACGCACACTTCTTTTTGTATTTTTGGAGGTATAAAATGCCCGGCACCCCCTCCCCCCCCCCAATTATGTATTTCTAGTTTATACACGTATTAAGTATAATGATCCCAAATTGCTATTTTCCGAGTAGTCAATGCTGATTGCCCGAGTTTCTTGCTCACGTGCTTCCCCGTGACGAGTGAAAGAACTTACTGTCGAAAGGAGGAGCAAAGAGATTGATAAATCTTACAAATTGCCCCTCGCAGGCAAATTTAGGCCGAAATCGACAAATACACCCACGCTTCGAAATACCCCTCAAACAGCCTCATCACTGCGTAAACACCCGTGACAATGTTAAATTTTGAAGAGTAACATGGCATGGTATAGACTACAATTATTCCGTAAAAACGGAGGGTTCAAGAAGAAAGGATCACCTTGAAGGGTTGGAGCATCCTTAGCTGTACACCCCTAAACATTCCAAATGATAAGGCGACGTCTTTTAATTAAAGTCAAAAAACGACCATTACAATACTGCGATATAAACTACACCGCTAATTATTTGAAGCACAAAGCGACAAAGTCGTAGCAGTTAGCTAGCCACTTACCAGTATATGCTTCACCGAAATTATAATCTTGAGCGAAATTTGCTGCTGCCGTTTTCTTCCACTCCACCAAATCTCCTTCTAAACGAAGCAGACATGCACTTTCATTCACATTGCATTGCACCATCTTCCCCATATTTTCCCCAGCATATCTTAACTCATACGAAGCTCCAGAAACAATATATGGCAATGGTACGGTACGACACAGGACAGGTAGTGCATAGTAATGTAGTCATTGCATATATTCCTGTTTGTTTGTTTATTTATTAATTATAATTTTTACTTCACTAAGTGAACAGGCATTTCTTCCTTCTCACTAGGTCCGGAGACGTCTAGACCTAGTTCAGACAACATGAGGAAGAGCATTCAGAAGAGTAAATGAAAATGACGTATGCATGAACTTGGATAGAGAGCCAAGGATTAATTTATAGAAAAGAAAAGGACCAGGGAACTACAAGTTTCGCTATACTAAGAGTGTCGTATCAGTGTCAGTATGCCCAAATGCACAGGCGAGGCTACCCCACACTGTAAATGCAGTACCCGTATATTCATTTTCGCTGCAGATTCAATTTCGCTGATTTTGTCGCTCAGTACCAACTGGCCAAAGTAAATCGCTGGCCAAAATTTGACATAGAGGCAAATAATGCATGGATGCATGTGGGAGCGCCAACTACTGATCGATTTCTGATTGATTTCTTTTTTGAAAACCCTAATCGGCCAAATTTGAGTCAGGGCCAAAAGTTTCATTTCGAGATCGGCCAAAGCTTCTCACGGGCCAAGATTTATTGATTTTCAGTATTTGCATAAAGGAGTCAGCGCTCTGAATGCATGCAATGTTAACTACAAACAGGGCTTTTGATGACTATTCTCTATATTAGGAATCATGTCATTTCGTTCCTCGAAAGGGCTCTAGCGAGCGTACTAAGCCTCAGCCAACTTAGCCAAGGCCCAGCACTTACCAAGCATGCGTGATACAAGTGTAATTATAGCAATAAAAACTTGACAATATTAGTTTTGATTAAAACGTGCACTGCGCCTACATGCATTCATCATGACATGGAAAGAGGACCACGAGGGAAACAGGTCCTCTCGATTTTCATCCTGTGTGTGATTATTGTGAGGTTTTAAGTGAACTACGATAGTTTTACGATAGTGCGGGTTCGAATCCCAGGTTATGTCTTAAAAAAAGGAATTTTTAAATAATTTATAACATCCCTATGCTATTTTTTTGTCTACATGTAGGTCATCAAGGCAAAAAAGCATAGCGTAGGGCCCTGAGCTTCTAAGCTCTCTCGTAACATGACAGTGGAGTTCGGTAGGATGTTGGCGTTTCGGTTTGTCACAATTCGTCTTCGCCTAGCTTCCCCTTCTATGTTTATTACATAAACCTGGCCTCCCAAGATGGGTTGTCTGTACCTTTGCATCGTCGAGTTGTTGTAAGGCCAGTATGTCCAATAGTCTTACTAGTTTCGTCATCATTCAGTAACTTTCGGCATTCTTTGTTGCCATGATGCGTAGCTAGTGCTCTTCTTCTATGCGCTTTCCTTCCCCTCTTGGACCTTCCCGAACCTGAGCCTTCCAAGTTGGAAGGTTGTTGGTTTGCGCCTTGGAGACGTGTTGGAGCTAGGTGTCAGGTCGCCGAATGTCTCAGTACTCTTTGTCAGTTTTGTGCCATTTGTCGCACTCGCTGACTGAATAAGATCTGGTTACGTTGGTGGACAGTTTGTCATAACTCGTAACACTTTTGTCCTTTTCCTTTCTTCATATAAAGCAGTTTTGATTGCTATAAATAATTGTTCATGTCCCCTTAAGGTATGCCCTAAATGATGGCCTTTATCAGTGCGTATTGATTTGCCAGGCTTTTCTTGCAGAAAATGGCACTTGTATAATCATGCACGTCCGCGGGGAAAAATGTAGGTAGTAGTGGTGGTGATACTGTTTGTATTTGCATTCTGTGGCTGATGTCGCTGCAACATTTCAAGACTCTGTCATAAAATTGTCTTTCTATAGACATTTTTTGATTTACATGCCCACAAACTCATGGCAGATTTATTTCACAAAGGTTACCAGGTGCATGTTGTGGATGTTTTTGTTGATTTTTGTTTAGAATTGTAGTCATGGGTTGTCGTGATCAGGTCATCTTGCATCATATTGCGTTACAGAGTTAGCTTGAAATGTAAAATTCACGTTGATCCGTTGTGACTTCATTCTACATATCATTCCACGTTCGAAACCTGCATTACGCTTGTATTCCTGTATTTAGATTTGACTCTGTAGGAAGGCCTTAGGCCTGTGGGGATTGCCCTATCAAAAATGTGATAATAATAATAATAATAATACCTAACAGTGGTTTCGACTTCGGCGATGATTTTTTCAGGATTGGGTTTGCTCCCACACTGGAGCTCGCGCTTTTCCGCCGACGTAACTTGACACTTGACTGACTCACGACTGCCATCCAGAGAACACGAGAAGTCCATCGAACCTTCGACTCGGTAAACCTGCAAGAAAGCACCACTCGTTGCTCAATATACAGTGTTTCGGGGAATTCACCCCTCATCCGTTGAGCTTGAGCAGGCTGAGGAAGATTGTGCCTGAAGAGCACCACTTTTATAGTGCTCTCAAGGCACAAACATCACCAGGGTTACAAATTTACAGAGATGCTCGGTTTCCAGCGCGACAAACACCTCGTGAACACCAGATAGCAGCGTGAGTCAGTGTCGCTCCTGGACGGTGAAAAATGACGTAAAGGATCCTGGGTCATTCACAACGCTGTCACCACAAAACCAGCTAGTCGCAGGCCTGCGCTGGGCACCACAGTACAAACTGGTGGTTGCGACTTCGGTGATGATTTTTTTATAAATCCTGTTCTCCTGTTCTCAGCCTCCAGGGGCGAAACTGACTCACGCTGCTATCTGGTGTTCACGAGGTATTTGTCGCGCTGGAAACGGAGCGTCTCTGTACGTTTGTATCCCTGGTGATGTTTATGCCTGGAGAGCACTATAAAAATAATTATAAGTGGTGCTCTTCAGGCACAATCTTCCTCAGCCTACTCAAGTTCAACGGATGAGGGGTGAATTCTCCGAAACACTGTGTTGAGCAGGGAGTGGTGCTTTCTTGCAGGTTTGCCGAGTCGAAGGTAACATGGACTTCTCTTGTTCTCTGGATGGCAGTCGTGAGTCAGTCAAGTGTCAAGTCAAGTCGGCGGAAAAGCGCGAACTCCAGTGTGGGAGCAAACCCATTCCTTAAAAAATCATCTCCGAAGTCGCAACCACTATTTCGTACTGTTGTGCCCAGCGCGGGTTTGCAACTAGCTGATTTGGAGGTGACAGCGTTGTGAATGACCGAGGGTCAAATCATAAGAAGCAACGCTTGAAGCCTCGGAGAATCTAACTCATCACATACTTCTTTTTGTAAAAGAAGCCGACGATGAGCGGCAGTACTATAAAGACACCATAGCAGATATGAAACAGCATCTGGCAGAAACAGAAGATGGCAGCATTCCAACGAAGATGCATGTAACATTTGACTTTGCCCAACAGCTGGAGTAACCGGATCACACGAGACAAGCAGGCCCTATCTACTTCAAATCACGCTTCAAAGTTCAACTATTTGGCATAATGCAATGAAGCCAGGACTATGGAAGTTTACTACCTATTTCACGAGGGCGAGTCTATTGGCATAGAAGACACTAGGGCACATGGTCCCAACGCAGTTTTTACCATGCTACACTACTACTTTGACAAGTATTTCAAAGAAAGAGTAGTGCTTATGCATGCTGACAATTGCGCAAAACAAGAACAAGACCGTCGTGGTATATAGGTGTTGGAGAATTCTTCGCGGATTGTCTGATGGCATCACATTGTCTTTCATGCGTGTTGTATATATCCGCTGTAGCGTGGAAGCGAATTTCGGAAGGCTGAAGCAGTCCTTCCGAAAGTCAGAAGTTGACACGATGGCTGATGTAGTGACCGCTATTGACAAGACTTGTGAAGCTAAAGTTCCATTGCGCTACTGCTGGTCCTGGCAAAAATGGGACACATTTCTTGTCGAATTCTTAAAACCCAGTAAGGGTATTGCCGGCTTCCAGCATTTCCGTGAAACTAAATCCAAACCTGGAGTTGTTCTGATGAACAAAAGCTGTAAGGCCACTGAGGTTGTGGAGCTCTGTCTACTACGACCTGGCAATACTGCAATTTCAGTTGCAAAATGGTGGTACGCCAGTGACTCTTCCAACTGGTGGCATCTCGGATACCAGGCGGGTCTATCTGCAGCGTAAAATAGACCAATATATCATGTCTGAAGGTGCACTGCCACCCTGTTATTCAGATGAACCAGCCAGTGAAGGCAGTGACACCACTTAGAAACGGTAACAGTGCAAAACAGCCCATTGCTCAAACCATGTACATATTCTGTATTACACTCCATACACAAGGTTTCCTCCCCTCCCTCCTCTCCGATCCTTACATTCCCTACCCATTAGCAGCACACCCGAAAAAATTCGAACAATAACGCGGTAATGCGATAATATAACCTTGATGACCTAGGCAAAAAAGCTAAGCGATGTCTTTTTCATTTCCACAATTTTCGGAAACACTTGTTTCGAACCCGGACTCTCGCCCTGCATGCATTCCCCGATACACTAAGTATATAAACACATCCAAGTCCAAGTTGCTTCACGTCTTGACGTTGCAACTGAAAGCCCTGTTAAATTTTGAATAATGTGGCCAGCTGGCTTTGATGGTACAGTACGGAACATGTACGGGATAGGGCTAGGCATGCCGACATCGTCAGGCACAAACAAACCAACAGTTAGCGTGCACTACAATTCGCATTACATTATCACATACACGAATGCGCTTAATGGTACGCTACGAGCGAGCAAACGTGATGGGCTGAACACCAGGGAATCGTAAAATAACGGTAGTTTAGGACTCCCTGCTGAACACATTATGGAGCTTTGAGCAAACTAGTACCGGTACTCATCCGAGTCCTAGAAATCGAATTTTCATTACGAGCTGACCCTTCAAAATATCCTGTTCGCCAGGTCGATGGAGCCGCG